TGAAACAGGTGGTGTCATACTTACCACTCCTGGCTCAAGTCTACCTGCGGCCGGTTTGCAAAAAGGTGTATGAGATGACCAAAGGCCTCACTGCGGAGACTGTGTGGCCGGTCAGCAACTGGAGATACCGTAGGGGGCACCGGATAATTCGTGGCCCGGTAGTACGAATTGAGGACGCAGAGACGTGCGATATCTGCCCCCTCCACCGGTTGACCGGACTTCGCGACGGTGACACTTACGCTGCACAATTTCCGAAGCAGGAGTACGACGACTGTTACTGCTTCTACGGACTTGCTCGCTCACAGCTTTCAGACGACGATGCTTCAGCCTCTGCACCGGAAGAGGACCCCGTAGCAAACGGCCCGACAACGATCGATCGGCCTAACCAGGTGAATCCACTGCCGAAAAGGGCTGACCCGACACATGATGATGATGCGTCGTGGGATGCGTCGTGGGAAGAGCTGGTGAATCCTACGGTAAAGACGGGGTCGTTCCGGAAAATGCGGATCTGGAGACGGGTAGCGGAACTAACAGACCAGTGGGTTCAGCTGGTCTTCACAGCGGGGGAGGGGTATTCTTCGTGCTCCATCCCGGCGGGGGCTAGGCTGGTCCGCACTCTGTTTACTGGGTTGACTTTCGCGGGGCGGAGATGGCGGGAGAGACTTTACGCAGAAGTGGATACGGTTGCGCAGTTCCAGCTGGAGCGCTCGTCACACCAGGTCGTTGGGATTTTCGATCAGCGAACGTGCAAAGAAGTTTTCGTGGGCGGTCAAGCCGGTGAGTCTTTCCGCATTCATGAGACCTGGTTGCAAGGGGAGGAGAAGCCGACCCACTTTATCGTGCACCATCCAACGTATGACTTCTATGCGCCAATCGTGCACACACTCCAGTTCGAGAAGGAGAACCTTGAAGAGGAGAAACTTGAAGGGGGGATACTTGAGAAGGAATTCCCTGAGGAGGAGTCCCCTGAGGAGGGGGACCGCAGACAAGAAAAGAACCGCAGACAAGAGAGAGACCGCAGACAAGAGAAAGGACAGAGTGTGAGCTCGAATTTGCAGGTCAGCTTGTATCCGGACTATCCTTTGATGAGGGACTTCCCCAATCCAGTTCTGGTCGTCTCGGTGCGTAAGTGCTTCTTCGTTACTAGAACGATCGTGGACGCGGTTCCCCTGTTTCCGTACCTCGTCAAAGACGGACTACGCATCCAGATTGAAGCCTGTGGCGATCTTGGGCTGGTACATATAGCCTGCGTCCGTCGAGGCCGCGGCGGCCGAAACAAGCTGCTGCACCGCACCCAGATAGACACATCCTCGAAACCGATCCAAGTTATCTTAGACCGTACAGATCGACTGATGCGAGCGACACACTTAACCTATGAAGTTGAGGGCCACTGTGCAGGCTTCACAGCCAGACATTCTTCACTGGTGTGCTTGACTCGGCCCATCAAAGCTTGGATGGTACCGGAGTCGGTCAATAAAAACACGTTCGACCACGAGAGGTTCTGCATTTAAGAATCCCTTGTTCAAAAGGTTCTACTAAATAACAGGCCGAATTCTACTAGCTAACGCAGGGGGCTACTAGCTAGTAGCTAACACAGGTAGCGAGCCCTGGAACAATGCTGGGTTCGGGAGAACGGTAATGACTGGAGCGGTTCCTTTGTCTTTTAGACGCCGAGGTTATTCCTATCCCGAAGGTTTGATCGCCAGTGTCGTCGAAATTCGCTTGGTGTGGCTCGTTAGGATTTAAGTCGTTTGAAATAACTCCTGCACCAAGGGGTAGACGAGTAAACAGTTTGGCGGGCACTATACACTTCACAGAACTCGAAGCTGGTATGGAAGAGTTGAAGACGGAAGGGGCAACTGCGGAAGAGTTGAAGAGGGATGATTTGGAGGTGGAAGAGTGGAAAAAGAATTCACCGGTGCTGATATTGATCCGTGGAGTGCCGGGTAGTGGCAAGAGTACACTTGCGAAGCGGCTGGCGGCTCAGTGGCCGGATTTGGTTCATTTGGAGGCGGACATGTACTTCGTGGACCAGCAAGGTGAGTACCGGTGGGAGCCTGCAAAGTTGGGGGCAGCGCACGACTGGTGTCAGATGTGGGCGTACTCGTGCATGTGCACGGGTAGTTACTCCGTGGTAGTCAGTAACACGTTTATGGAACAGTGGGAACTGGAGGGGTACGTGGCACTGGCCGCCATAACCCCGGTGCGACACGTCATAATTCATGACTGCCCTCTCTTCTCCGGCTTCTCTAACTGCCACCAGGTCCCCAGCGCCTCTGTAGACCGAATGCGGAGCAAGTGGCAACCGTCCGACAAGGTCGTTGCTGCTCTGCAACCCCTCTATCCCGCCTTGACTTTTCGCCTCTCCCCACTTAAGAACACCGAGCGTGCAACACCCAAACACGCGACCCTTCCCGAGTGTGCGGAACATACACAGCTAGAGAGCCACATAGCCAGAGAACCAGAAGTATGACAAGATTCCATCATCTGTTGGCATATCAGAAAAGTCCGCACATTTGTGTGAGTGCGCACAGCGTGTGGGTCAGCGCTGCACACGACGACGTTCATAACGTTTGCGCGACTTCGGGAGCCTGTATCATGTGGTTGTGGGGTTTGGTGGGATCGATCTTTAGAATTTCGTTGCTGTAGTGTTTGTGGAGGTCGAAGAAGTCTTCGGCCTGTATGAGTTTGCTCCAGCCATTTTTGTGCACGTGATAGACCCGGACAACACCGCCGGAGCCACCGTCTCTATGTGCGGCGTGATATATGGCTCGTTTAGCGAGTTCCAGAGCGTCTTGGTCGGAGAGGTCCCAACGGTAGTAGGTGTCGAGTACTCCGTAAGCGTAGGTGGAGCCGGAGCCAACGCTGAAAAGGTCGCCTTGTATGCGGGATCCGTCATCACTGACGTAGTAGAGGGAGGTAGAATCAGTGCTGTCATCGTACCCGGTAACCATAGTACCGCATTGCAAACCGCGACCGCGATACTCCCAGAAAATATTGGCGAGTAGGTTGCTAGCATGCGCGACGGTGATACGTTTACTCTGTCTGAGTTCGTGCATTCGGCATAGAACGCTCAGATAACGTTCCCAAAAGGAACAATCTGCAGCACCACCGGCCATAGTACCCAACAAGTAATCATTTATCTCAATCACCTTCTGCACGGTCTGCGAGGCAACAAAGGAGCCCTGACTCGCACGCGAATCGCACGCCACCATCACACCCCCCTGGTACCGAAAGGCCAGAGTGGTGGTGCCCTTGTCAAATTGCATCAACTTCGAGCTTGCATTCTGCTTCACAAACGACTTAGGATCCTCACAGTCAGGGAATACCAGACCCAAAGATGCCATATTAATATCCCCAAAAATGTTGATCCTCTCTCAGCTCACGGAGAATTTTTAGCACCATGAGGGGCGCCGTAAGGAAAAGGAGCAGCGACAACGAGGAGCGCGACAACGAGGAGCGCGACAACGAGGAGCGCGACAACGCTCAATTGTGTAAAGAACTCACAAGTATCTTAACCAACGATATCGGAAGACTTGCAGAGGCCCTTGAAATTGCGGACGACTTTAGGACTGTAAGCAACACCCCCTCGCTGAGCTCCATTTTCTGCAGTCGAGACGGAGAAAGAAACTGAAACCTGATAAGACTGTCTGCCATTTTTGCTGGGAGGAACTTTGTGTATCAGCATACACAGGTGCAGGTGCGGCAGCCAATGCCCGTGTATGCAGAGCACAGGCCGACAACTTGCCCCCGGCACCCGACGGAGAAACGGGTAAGTCCACTGACTTTCGCTCAAGCCTCAGCTCCGGCTTCGGCAGCAGTAGAGATCTAGAGATTGAAAGCGAAGAACCTCCGAGCTCTTCGAGCTTGGAAGGCCCCGGACTGCTGGAACCCACCTTGATCACAGACAGTGCTCACGGCTGCCGTCGCAACAGCGACAGTCATCATGACAGCGACAGTCATCATGACAGCCACAGTCATCATGACAGCCACAGTCATCATGACAGCGACAGTCATCATGACAGCGGAAGATGTGACAGTTGCCATGATGCCAGTCGTCATGACTATAACCGTCGGAATGAGGGTAGTCGACACGAGCCCTCTGGTAGGCTACAGGATTCTTACAGTACGGGGGTGAATATTTGCACGTCTTCGCAGTTCGTCGAGTTGGAGCCGGAGTGTGTGATTTCACAAAGCATACTGACTTCGCCCGTGGGTTCTACGGACGAGATGGTGAACAAGGCTAAGCGCATCAATGCGCTATTGAGCACAGTTCGCGAGATGGATGACTTACCGCACTTCCTAGGAATTGACGGAGAGTTTATGTCCCACTTTAGGACCCCTGGAGAATTCAATCAGTACTTTGCCGAGCCCGGTCCCATTCTGAGTACCCTGCAAATAGCCACGCCGGGCGCGGTCATCGTGATTCGAACGTGCGCCTTATTGGTTCCGACTGGATCGAGGTCCAAGCACGCCAACAGCGTGGCCGAGGGAATCTCCGTCAGAATTGGATCGTCAAGATTTTTCCAGCTTCAGAACTCGCCCCTTCTCAGAGATGTGCTTACAAACCCAAAGGTCAGCTCCCTCCCCCTCCCCTCCCCTCCCCTCCCCCC